GTGTGTGTGTGTGTGTGTGTGTGTGTGTGGCCACGACACAAATATAATAATCTACAGTGTGTTTTTCTAGACTGTTGAACACAGAAGCATGTCACGTATGTTGCGTTCACACAGCGTCCGTTTGAGACCTGATCATAGAATGTAAATTAAGATGGACGACACACGTCCACATCCTCCCACTGTCCGGACATGAAGCCAGAATATCCCAGATCCCGACGCCGCCACCTTGGCTTCACGTTCGGGAAGCCGTCCTGTCATCCATCTTTATATCCCACTTAGCAAAACTGTTCTGGCCCAGACTTGGCCCACATACCACATGGTATGATGTCACCTGGGCGGTCCGCTCCTGTTTGCCAGATCTTGGCCACAGGTAAGACACAGAAATACCACATGTCGACTTAACGTGGCCACAAGTTGTGCTATTCGTGCCACAATCATCAATTACCACACGGGCCACTTTAGATTCACATCCAGATTACTCGTTGCCCAGAGCTCCGCATGTTTCGCCAAGAAAGAGGCCCACGTTTCGATTTTACAAGTGGGCCACTTCAGGCTCAGGTCCATTTGGTCCGGGCCACAGAAGAAGAAGTGCAGCATCATTGCATCACTGTACGTCTGTGTTTGCGTACATGGACGATGTGTCCCGAGGAAACCTCCGGACATCACCAAGACTTTGGACAAACTGACAAATGGACAGTATGTAACTACACACACACACACACACACACCTCATAACGTGTATGACACACACGGAGCACGGCCTCAAACCCACGGAGAGAAAAAGAAAGTTCTGTTTTCTGTACATTCGGGTTCGCTAATTGGCGGAGGCCTCTGATTGGCCGCTGGACGTCTGCCAACAACCAGTGAGTGGCCTCGGTCTGCTCGATCAAAACCATGGCTGTTAAAACAGCAGGAGAGCTGAGTGTGTGCGTGAGTGTGTGTGGTCACTTTAGTCAAGAGTACAAACGGAACGTACATTGTGCAACACACACACGCCTATGGCTGCATGATTACAGTTCGCATTTACCGTAAAACCTGATATTAATAAAGTATGTGAAACATCCTGTGTGTGTGTGAGTGTGTGTGTGTGTGTGTGTGTGTGTCAGCCACATGTGTTAGATTCATAACTGTCACAGTAGGAGGTTTTAAAGCCACAGGGGTCCTTGTAATGCAACTGCTGCTGCGCTGCATACGTAAAAATGTTTGACACAACTTCAAACCCAACAACACACACACACACACTCACACACTCACACACACACACACACACATAATGGCGGAGTCACACATACTTGCACAATGATTAAGGCAGAAACATGAGTGTGTTTACACGTGCTAACATGTGCACACACCGTAATCATCCAAACTTTTTTTTTTTTTTAAACTTATTTTTTCATGTGCAACAAAATCTAAATATTGAAATGTTTTACTGTTTTTTTTTTTTAAGCCAATCGACTGTATTCACCTGTCGGACATTTTGGAGCCACTTCAGGTTCACATCCAGATGAAACCTGGTCCAGGGCACCACATGTTTGCCCACAGTTGTTCTGGCACAGACGTAAACAATGCAGACTATAGAACAGAGGAGTAATTACAGAATATAAACACTTGACTTGGTGGTGGCCAGTGGAAACAGCCGAGCAGCGGACTTAGCACAGATGTGTAGCTCTATTGTAGCGGACGCCTCTGAACATGCAAACACACAATCATGTCCACGTGCACACAAATATGAAATGTCAGAAATACAGACACACATGCGAAAAAGATTTTGGTGATTAAAGATTTATGTTTTAGAGTGTGCATGCAGACACACACACACACACACACGTGTATGAAAACATGTATATACACACACAACAGGCCTCAGTTCTAAAACAGGCTGAGAAAACAAGCGGTCAACTCAGTTAAAATGGATTTATTTTATGAAACGTAATAATCGAAGCAATAAAAACATATTGGAATAATGTTTTGGCCATTTCCTCTCTGACGTCTGAACCTCCTTTTCCTGCTCGCGTTTACAGGAGGTGAGCGAAAGGATGTGAGACCGTGTGTGTGTGTGTGTGTGTGTGTGTGTGTGTGTTAACACGGGGATGCAAAGAAAGAAAAGGGTGAAAGTCCAAGTTACATTCAAATAAAAGGATTTAACCCAACAGGATATTACATCATGACGCTGGCCGACATCCTGGTCATTTGATAGGTCTTTCTCGTCCAAACATTTAGTCTACATTGATTTTACTTTTTACTGCAGCGCTATAAGCCCCTGCTGTAGGAAGTACACATAAACTGAACATTTAATTAAAAGAAACGGAACGAGACGCAGAGAGGGAACAGAGAAAAGACCAATAAAATTAGCGAGGAGCGCAGCGAGGAGGTTCGGGGCTGGAAAGTAAAAAACGAAAAAACAGGATAAAGAATAAAAAGGAAAACATGAGTTGAACCACTTTAATGTTACAGAGTGAAGTTGGTAATAAAGTGGATTGAATATTTTTTGGGGTTTCCAAACTGTCTTTTCGGAGCTGGTTGACATTCCACAGGCCTCGTTTCTAAAGGTAGGAGATGACACACACACACACACACACACACACACGGGGCAGCTAACCACATTATGAGTGGATGAAAATATTAAACTGAGGCTCGTCTCCAAATGTTGGCACCGACTCCGCAGACAGAAACCACTTAAAGAGTTATAGACCCCTGAATTCAGCCCCGGCTCAGAATAATGAGAGCGTGCCTACCGGGCATTAACTCACACAAACACACGCAGACAGGTTCCTCCTGCTCGACCACGCACGGTGGTCTGTGGCTGCTGGCACCGCGCGCTATCAATAAAGGTTGTGACACTGAGGAGTCTGGAAGGGTTTAATGTAGCGTGGTATAAAAAGGTAGATGGGGGGGGGGGGGGGGGGGGTTATGGAGGACAGGGTGGCCCGACGTCTGCAGACGGAACAAAGAGACGGTTTAAAATCTAAAGCAGACGATTCAAAAGGTGCTTTTACGTTGGAAGAGCTCGGTTTTTCTCGCTTGCTCTCTTTCTCTGTTCATAAAGACGAGCGCCCTCTGGCGGCTGGCTGCAGCAAAGGTCGCAGACCCCCACCTCCTCCATGTTAGCAGATGGATGTGGACCAAACTAGAGTTGGTCACATACATTTCTCTCAAAGATGGTTTCAGGAGTTCTGGCTTCACCGGTCTAAGATGGCCGCACTCGTACCTGTGGGATATTTCGGCTTCATTTTTGTGCGGCGGAGGGAAGAGGAGTCTAACGCCGCCCCTTCGACAACCACCAACAATAATCCATCAACATTAACGTACACGTGTACACGAAAGACGATGAAATGAAGTAATAACCCGTTATAAAACATATTTCTCTGTAGATTCATACGACACAGACGGACGTTCCTTACATTAGAAACAAATAAACATATTTAGGACGTTGTTAAAGAAGGAAACTGATTCTGTGCCAAGATGATTCTATTATTGTCACCGAGGGAACGCAGGTTTGATTTTACGGATCTGAACTTCACTAGATGATTAAAAACGTTGCTCTCTGTGACCGAAACCTTACGTGAACTCGAGTCTGCTCCGGACTTCATCGACCGACCAACACACACACACACACACACACACA